CAAAAGCCGCTGAGATGTCCAAGAGAACCAGCAGAGTCACACTCCCCCTGTCCAGCTCTCTGCGGAGGTCATACACCAAGACGACCAATGCTGTCTCGGTACCATGACCAGGCCTGAAACCAGACTGTGACTGATCTAGGTAGTTGATGTCATCTAGAAAACCCTGAAGCTAAGAGGCAACCACCCGCTCCAGCACCTTGCCCAAGAAAGGGAGGTTGGAGATCGGTCTATAATTGTTCAGCACCGTGGAGTCAAGGGAAGCCTTTTTGAGGAGTGGACGAACCACAGCTTGTTTCTGGTGAGATGGAAAAAAAACCCTGCTCCAATGATGCATGATCATTAGATCAACACAAACCAATCTACCAACCCCTCCCTGGCCGATTTAATTAGCCAAGACGGGCAAGGGTCCAGAGCCGACGTGGTCGCCCTCACAGCGCCAAGGACCTCCTCCACGGTCTCAGGAAGAACAAGCCTAAAAGAATCCCACAAAGTTGGACAAGCAGATGCCTCAACCACCTCTTCTGGCACTGCGATGAAATTGGAGTCCAGCTCAAGACGTATCTGAGCAACTTTGTCTGCAAAATGGTGTGCGAACTCGCGACCATTGCTGGGTCATCGAAGGTCTCCTCCACCACCGGTGGGTGAAGAAGTTCCCCGACAACCCGAAACAGCTCCAATGATCTGTTTGCTGCAGACGCTATACGGGTGGTCGTGAAAGACTCCTTGGCTACCCGTATAGCCACGGAATACGCCTTAAGATAGGCTGTAGCCCGTGCTTGGTCAGACACGTCCCGAGAACTCCTCCATTTGCACTCTAGCCCCCTTCTCGTGTGTTTCAACACGGTCAACTCCTCGGTGAACCAGGGAGATGGCCTGTCTCGACGCAACGAGATGGGGCGTTCGGGAGCGATCGTATCTATCGCCCTGGACATCTCCCTGTTATAGAGATCGACCAAGGCGTCGACAGAATCGCCAGGCTCCATGGCAGGAAAAAACCCCAAAATTCCTCAGGAAACAGTCCGGAACCATCAGTCTCCTGATGGATCCGCCACAAAAACTAGGTCGAGTGTATGTCCAGATATAACTTGTGAGAGCCCCATGGTGGTCATGGCGGCCATGAAATCCTGAGCTGCTCCAGTCAAAAGGGTCTCAGCATGGATGTTAAAATCTCCCAACACCACCAGACACTGGGAGGCCAAGGCCGAATTGGAGACCACTTCTGCTAGCTCAGGCAGGGAAACTGCTGGGTTGCGGGGTGAGCGGTACACCAGCAGAAACCCCAAGCTCTCACGGTTTCCCACCTTCAGGTGGACACACTCAAACCCAGGTGATTGCGGAACCGAGCATCTGACCACGGCGATGGATTGCCAATAGACTACTGCGACCCCACCTCCCCGCCCCCCCCCCTCGGCCTGGCCTGCTGATGCACTCCAAAACCCAGTGGACACAGATGAGTTAGATTTACTCCCCCCCCCCAGCTCGTCCAGCCAGCAAGCCAGATCCGCCCTCTCATCCAGGATCAAGTCCTGAATGGCCGCGGTCTTTCCATTGACGGATCTGGCATTAATCAGCAAGACCTTAAGGCCAAGGGGTCTGTCATGGAGCCTACCACTTCCTACCTTCTCCAGGGTCGCAAGAACTTTGTTGCGCTTCTCCCTGGGACGTTGGTGACCAGCAAATCTCCCCCTCCAGGAAGGATCTAACCTTCCTATACAGAATGTATTTCCTTCAATGCCAAACCTCATTGGCTCTACTGCTGCGCTCAAGAAGCTTCTCACCTGCTACACTGCTGCTACTTTGTTCTCCTGTGAGCATGGAGAGGGGCAAGATGTCTGCAGATGGATAGATAGGCCCTAACCTTCCTATACAGAATGTATTTCTTTCAATGCCAAACCTCATTGGCTCTACTGCTGCGCTCAAGAAGCTTCTCACCTGCTACACTGCTGCAATTTGGTTCTCCTGTGAGCATGAAGAGGGACACAATGTCTGCAGGGAGATAGATGGGCCCTAACCTTCCTATACAGAATGCATGTATTTCCATGCCAAACCTCACTGGCTCTACTGCTGCGCTCAAGAAGCTTCTCACCTGCTACACTGCTGCTACTTTGTTCTCCTGTGAGCATGGAGAGGGGCAAGATGTCTGCAGGGAGACAGGTAGTTAGCTAGATAGGCCTTTACTTTCCAAGATAGTAATGCGGTCCATTCCGTAAAGTCTTTGGCAACATCTAAAGTTTGCTGGATGCTCATTGGTGTATCAGCAGAGCTTCCGATCTGCTAAACTGTTGCTGCTTCGTTCTCCTGTGAGCATGGAGGGAGGCAAGATGTCTGCAGGTAGGTGAGGAAGGAGTGCCTACTTGGGGTGGAAGCAGTAGGCGCCATACTTCCTGCGCAGTCTGCTGGGGAAGCCGAAGCCGCGCAGGGCGGGGTCGTGGACACCCCCGCAATGGGGGGGCCGTGTCTCCGTGGCGACGACGAGGGGGAAGCGGACGCTGCCGTCCTGGAGCCACCCCGCTTTGCAGGCGTCCAGGCGGGAAGAGGAAGAAGCGGGGAAGTGGCCGGCCCCCAGGAGCTGCCCCACTTTGGCCAAGGAAGCCCCCCCTCCCTCCGCACCACAGGCCTGGGACGCCTCCCGGAAGGTGAAGTGGCCACGGATGAAGGAGACACGGCCTGCAATAGAGGAAGAAAAGGGGGAAGGAGGAAGGGGACGAGGAAGGAGGAGAAGAAAGGAAGGGAAGGGGAAGGAGGAAGGAAGGGAAGGAAGGGAAAAAGGGGAAGGAAGGAGAGAAAAAGGGGAAGGAGGAAGGAAAGGAAGGAGGATAAGAAAGGAGGGAAGGGAAGGAAGGAAAAAGGGAAGGGAAGGAGAAAGAAGGGAAGGGAAAAGGAAAGGGGGAAGGAAAAGGAAGGAGAAGAATAGAATGGAAAGGAGAAAGGGAAGGAGAAAGAAAAGATGAAGAAGAATGGATTGGCACGAAAGGGGAAAGGAAAGAATGGTAAAAGATGAGATGGAAGGAAAAGAGCAAAAGAAAAAGGGAATGGTGAAGAAGAATGAAAAGGAATGGTAAACGATGAAAAGGAAGGAAAGGAGAAAGGGAAGAGAAAGGGAAGGAACAGGAAAAAGGAAAGAAGAAAGGAAAGGAGAAGGAAACGATGAAGAAAAAGAAAAGAAGGGAAAGGGAAGAAAAAGGAGAAGGGAATGATGAGGAGAAAGGGAAGGAGAAAAAGCAGCAAAGGAGAAAGGGAAGGGAATGGTGAAGAAGAAGGGAAGGGGAAAGAAAAGGAGGAAGGAAACGGAAAGGAAGGAGAGGGAAGGAAAGGGAGAAGGGAAGGAAGAAGAATGGAATGGAAAGGAGAGAGAAATGATGAAGAAGAATGGGATGGGCACGAAAGGGGAAAGGAAGGAATGGTAAAAGATGAAAAGGAAGGAAAGGAGCAAAAGAAAAAGGGAATGGTGAAAAAGAACAAAAAGGAATGGTAAACGATGAAAAGGAAGAAAGGGAAGGAAAGAGAAGGGGACAGGAAAAAGGAAAGGAGAAAGGAACGATGAAGAAAAAAGGAAGGGAAAAGGAATGGAGAAGGAAAGGAGCAAAGGGGTGGCGACGAAGAATGGGAAGAGAAGGGAAACCAAGGAAAAGGGAAGGAAGGAAAAGTGAAAAGATCAAAAGAAAAGAAAGTAGCAAAGGAATGGTGAAGAATGGAAAGGGGAGGATAAGGGCATGAGGATGATGATGATGAAGAAGAAGGGAACAGAAAAGGGAGGGGAAAGGAGAGGAAAGAGGGAAGGAAAGAAAACAAAAGTTGCAAAGGAAATACAGAAGGCAAAGAAGCCCCCCCCCCCCCCCGCTCTCCCCCAGTCAATAAGAACAGGAAGCTGCTTGCCTACCTGTGACGGCGGAGGTGAAGCAGAAGGCATCGAAGCGGTCCCGCTGGGGGTCCCGGTGGGCGTAGGTACGGATCCCTGGGGGGAGGGAGCGCCCCCCACAGGGCTCTCGGGGCCGGACGATGGGGTAGTGGACGCCCCCCTCCAGGACCCACCCCGCGTTGCACCAGTCCAGCCCTTCGCTCCAGCCTGAGAGGGAAAGAGAGACAGGAAGGGCATTGGGAAGGGTCCCTGCAAGGCAATGCGGCCACAATGAAGGTTATCAAAGGCTTTTTCGCCATCTAAAAAAGATGCGGAGAGGTCCAAACGCCTTTGTAGAAATCCTGAAAAGAGATCTAGGCACGGGACAACTCTAGCCCTTCCTCCACGTGAGGCATTTTGGACTCCAACTCCCAAACTTCCAGTTCAGTTCACTATAATGCTTTGGTTTTACTTTTGTTTCATTATAGTGGTTTAGTGTTAGTTTGAGTTCATTATGTTATAGGGTTGGGTTCAGTTCACTATGATGCATTTGTTTTGCTTTCAGTTCACTATGACCCCTTCCACACAGCCACATAAAATCCTCATTGAACTGGGCTATATGGCAATGTGGACTCAGATAACCCAGTTCAAAGCAGATAGTGTGGATTATCTGCCTTGATATCCTGGGTTATATGGCTATGTGGAAGCGGCCGTGGTGGCGCAATGGGTTAAACCCTTGTGCTGCTGAACTGCTGACCTAAAAGTCAGCAGTTCAAATCCATGAGATGGAGTGAGCTCCCGTCTGTCTGCTCCAGCTCCTGCCAAACTAGCAGTTCAAAAACATCTACATGTGAGTCGATAAATAGATACCACTTATGTGGGAAAAGGCAAAGAGACATTCCAAGCAGTTCACAGCGATGCTTTGGTTTGGATATGAGTTCACTATGATGGTTTAGTTTCACTTTCAGGTGGACTGAAACCAAAGCATCATAGTGAACTGAAAGTGAAACTAAACATCACAGTGAACTGAAAGTGAAACTAAACCACCCTAGTGAACCCAAATTCAAACTAAAGCAGCATAGTGACAATAAAGTGAAACTAAACCTCCCTAGTGAACCCAGATCCAAACTAAAGCAGCATAGTGAACTGAAAGTGAAACTAAACATCATAGTGAACTGAAAGTGAAACTAAACCACCCTAGTGAACCCAGATCCAAACTAAAGCAGCACAGTGACAATAAAGTGAAACTAAACCACCCTAGTGAACCCAGATCCAAACTAAAGCAGCATAGTGAACTGAAAGTGAAACTAAACCACCCTAGTGAGCTCAAAGCCAAACCAAAGCATCATAATGAACGGAAAGTGAAACTAGGCCATGATAGTGAAAGCCAAACCACTGCAAAAAACCTAAAGTGAACCCAAAGTATCATAGTAACCTGAAAGTAAAACAAAACCATCACAGTGAAGTGGTGGTGTCATAGTGAACTGAAAGTGAACCAAAAATATCATAATGAACTCAAATAAACTAAAGCATCATAGTGAACTGAAAGCAAAACTAAACATTGCAGTGAACGTAAAGTGAAACTAAACCACTCTAGTGAACCCAAATCCAAAGCATTGCAGTGAATTGAAAGTGAAACCAAAGCAGCATAGTGAACTCAAAGTGAAACTAAACCACTCTAGTGAGCTCAAAGCCAAAGCATCAAAAGCATCATAATGAACTGAAAGTGACTCCAAACTATCACAATCTACTGGAAGTGAAACCAAAACATAATAGTGAACTGAAAGTGAAACTACACCATGATAGTGAACTGAAAGCCAAAGCACTGCAGAGAACCCAAAGTGAACCCAAAGTATCATAGTAACCTGAAAGTGAAATGAAACCATCACATTGAACTAGAGAGATAGATACATAAACAGACAGACAGGTAGATATGTAAGTAGGCAGACAGATGGAGGGACGAACGGCTGGAAAGGTGGGTTTACTTTCACTTCCAGCTCACTATTATGTTTTGGTTTCACTTCCAGTTCACTTTGATAGTTCAGTTTCACGTTCAGTTCACTTCAACACAATTTTAGAAGTCCAAAACACCTGAAGGGAGGGCTGATGTTGGACCAGGCCTGCAACGGGGCCTCACCTGTCCCTCAGGTGTGTCTAGTATTTACCTTTATGGAGCTGCTCGTAGGTGGCCAGGCGGGCGTCCTGCTCCTGGCAGGCCTTCTTGGCATCCAAATAGTTGAATTTATAGCGGCCCTCGCTGGATTGGTAAGGGAAGACCACACCTGGGGAAGAGGAGCATCATTATTCCTTTGATGACGTGGGTGAACTACAATTCCCACAATCTCAGATCAATCCTCCCCAAACCAGGTCTGTATGCACAGTTGGCCATGTTGGGTCTGCGTGCCAAGTGTGGTCAAGATTGGCCATCATCTGGGGTGGGTGCTCCCTGGATGCAGGCGAACTACACCTCCCAAAATCAAGGTCATTTTCCCCAACCCCTGCAATATGTTCTGGTAGTCATGGGTCTTCTCTGTGCCAAGTTTGGCCCCGGTCCATTGTTGGTGGGGGTCACAGTTTCTCTGGGTGCAGGTGATGTACAACTCCCACGTCTGTTATTGGTGGGGTTCAGAGGGTGAACTACAACTCCCATGCAGGTGGACCATTTCCTCCCAACCCCTCCGGTATGTTCTGTTGGCCTTCAGGGTTCTGGGGCCATGTATGTTCCTGATTCACCACTGGGTGCTTCTGAATGCTCTCTGGGTGCAGGGTGAACTACAACTCCCATGTGGGTGGGTTAGTCCTCCCCCAAAAAACTCTAGTAGGTTCTGTTGGTCACCTGGATTCTGTGTACCATGTTTGGTCCAGATCCGTCATTGGTGGAGTCCAGAGTGCTCTGGGTCCAGGGTGAACTACAACTCCCATGCAGGTGGCCCATTTCCCTTCAACTCCTCCAGTACGTTCTGTTGGCCTTCAGGGTTCTGTGTACTTTGTGTGTTCCTGATCCGTCATTGGGGTCTTCTGAATGCTCTCTGGATGCAGGATGAACTACAATTTCCACGTGAGTGGGTCGGTTCCCCAAACCCCTCTAGTATGTTCTGTTGGTCATGGGGGGTTTTTGTCCCAAGTTTGGTCCAGGCCCATCATTCGTGGGGGTCACAGGAGTCTACGGAAGTGGGTGAAGGTACTGCAAATCCCATCATCTGTGGTCCATCCTCCCCTAACCCTGACCAGGACATAAAGTGCGCCATAATGTGTGCCAAATTTGGTCCAGGTGCATCATTTGTGGGGGTTGTCGTGGTTGTGACGACGCGAGTGGCGCCACCTGTGTGTAGAACTTTAAGGTGCAAATGTTTAATCTGTATAGCATGCCCATACTTGCTTAGTTTGTAAATGTATAGTTGGATTGATTGGTTATTGATAGCTGTCAATCAATGTTGTGTGCACCAGTTATATTGCTTCTTCAGCTCAATTGCTTGGCTCCACCTCTTCCTGGAGGAGGGCAGAGCTTTTCCTTTTCCATTCTACCATCAAACTTTCTATCAGATAGACGTAAGACAGAGACTTGGCTCTAAAGCCCTTAATTAAGTTCCCTCTCATCACCAATTCTAAGGTTTTGACCCTTGGGACTCATGCTTCATGTCCAGATCGCCCTGGACAACGTTGAGGAGACCCAAGCGCCTTCAAACCGGTCCTTTGGCATCAAAAGGAAGACTCTGTGCTTTCAACATAGGCCATTGGACTGGGGGTTGTGCTTGTTCTGACCTTCACAGCCATTGAGAAAAGAGGGAACAGGAAAAGCTTCTTGGACCCAAGACAACCAGAGACTGTAATGTATATTTTCCTTTTCCCCTTTGAAACATCCAGCTTATTGCCTTAAAGGGATAACTCTTTGTGAACAATAAAAACCTATTTTGACTTATCTACAGTGTTTTGGTCCTTGGGAGTTCCAGTTTCCTAAAGGAGGGCAAGAAGCAATCCCCTGGGGGAAAGATGTCACGTCTATGTCTCTTTGACTAAGAGTTATAGCCCCCAGGCGCGACGGCATAGTGGTTTCTGGAAGTGAGTGAAGATACTGCAAATCCCATCGTCCCTGGTCCATCCTCCCCCAACCATCAACAGGACAAAAAGTGCGTCATGAGGGGGGAGGGGGTGTCTGTGTGGTCCTGGTCTGTCATTCGTGAGGGTCATAGTGATCTCTGGAAGTGAGCAAAGGTACTGCAAGTCCCATAATCCATGGAAAGTTTGGTCAAGATCCATTGTTGGTTGGGTTCATAGTGTTCTCTGGATGTGGTGAACTACAACTCAATCATGGTGAATTCTTTCCAAACTTCTTGTTCAGTTGCTGATCAATTGCTGTTTCACTTTTATTGTGTGTATACAGGGGCGGCTCGTCCATTACGCGAAGTAAGCAGTTGTAAAACACTTTTTGTTTGCCAGGGGTGCAGAGGCGCCTCTGTAAATGCCCCTCGACCGCCACTTGAGGACGAGCACCCCCTCAGCTCACAACAGCCCTACCACTCTGGGGGGAGCCTCGGCTTCCTTGCCTCGCTGCCGGGCGATCCTCTTCCCAAAGGGGCCGGGCCCTTGAGCCTCGCCTCGCCCCACTTGTTCCTGCTCCACCTTTCCACCAGGTGCGCGAGCAGAGCTGGCGCTCAATCGTTCTCCGCATTCGATCCCTTCCCATGACCGGCTCCCTTTCCCGATCCCCCAGAGCTCCACCCACCTCCTCTCCCCAATCTGTGGGTGGGCCAAGGGGCGGAGCCGCCACGCCTGGCCCGCTTCGGGTCCGGAGGCGTGTCTGAAGACCCCAGTGTGCGCACCAAAAGTTGCCTCTTCTCCTGACTTTCTCTTCAGCCATTGGGACCAAGAGAGAGAGAGAGAGAGAGAGAGAGAGAGAGCCCCTCCGGCTGGAGGTATCTCCCACCTCCGCTCCCTCCTTTGTTTTTGCGCCTACCTTCAGGAAAGGTGGGCATCTCCACCTCTCTCTCTCTCTCTCTCTGGTTCCAATGGCTGAGGAGAAAGTCAGGAGAAGAAGTGACTTTTGGTGCACACGCCGGGGTCTTCAGGCACGCCTCCGGACCCAAAGCGGGCCAGGCAAGGGAGCAAGTGCGGCAAGTGTAGTTACTGGGATGTATAGTTCACCTACAATCAAAGAGCGTTCTGAACTCCACCAAGGATGGAATTGAACCAAATATGGCACACAGAACTCCCACGACGAACAGAAAATCTATATATCAATGATTGGTTGGGAGGGGCGGGGCAGGCGCCAAAATACTTTTTGCTTACCGTTGAAAATTACCTAGGGCTGCCTCTGTGTGTATATACATTATGTTGTATAATTATATAATACTATCCAATGGAGCATCTGAGCAACGGTGTTGTGCCTCTGCTTGGAGTCCGTCTGCCGATCTTCTTGCAGCAGCTGCGGATGCAATCCATTGTTCCGCCTGCTTCCTTGCAGAGTCTACGTATTATTATTATTGTTGTTGTTGTTGTTATTATTATTATTCCTCCCTCTCTTCTCTCACCTTCCAGCTGGAGGTCCAGGGCGATGCTCTCGTCCTCCAGGCCGCTGACCACTTGGCACCGGAACCGCCCCTCGTCCTCCAGGACCACCGGCCCGAGGGTCAGCGAGGCATCCCGGGGGTCCCTTCCCGCAAGCCGGGCCCGGCTGCCCAGTGGCCCGTAGGTCTTGTGCCGGACCCCGTCCCAGACCAGGATGACCACCTCTAGGAAGGCCGCAGCCTCCACCCGGCTCCAGCGCACCCTTCCTCCCGGGGGCAGATCGGCCGCCAGCAGGCAGGGCAGCAGCGCCACTGACCCCCGGCGGACCCTCACCCACGGGGTGGTCGGCGGGCGGAGGAAGCGGAGCAGCAGCGGAGCAGCCGGGGCTAAGCGGGGAAGAAGAGGAGAAAGAAGAAGATGGTCACTCGAGGTGGTCATCTCTCGGGAGGGATTGGGTGGGCGGAAGAGGGTCAGTCTGGATGGGCTCTAGAGGACTCTCCCAACACTATGGGTCTAGTATTATTAGGGGTTGGACTCAATGGCCTTTAGAGGCTCCTTCTAACACTATGACTCTATTATTATTATTGTTATTGTTATTATTATTATTATTATTATTATTATTATTATTATGTGAAACAGAGACTGGGTGGTCATTGGAGTCTCTTCAAACACTATGATTTATGGTTCTACTACTACTAGTACTACTACTAGTAGTAGTAGTTTATTCATTCAGTCACTTCTGACTCTTCGTGACCTCATGAACCAGCCCACGCCAGAGCTTCCTGTAGTAATAGTAGTAGTAGTAGTATATGTTTAGGGGTTGGACTGGATGACATTTAGGGACCCTTCTAATACCAGGATTCTATGACTCTATCATTGTTGTTGTTATGTTAAACAGCGACTGGGTGGTCATTGGGGTCTCTTCAAACACTAGGATTTATGGTTGTAGTAGTATATTTTTAGGCGTTGGACTGAATGATCTTTAGAGGTCACTCCCAACTCTAGGATTCTATGGCTCTATTATTATTATTATTATTATTATTATTATTATTATTATTATTATTATTGAGCAGAAACTGGACGGTTATCTGTTGGGAGGAATCCAGTGACAGAAAGAAGGGGGTTGGACTGGATGACCTTTAGGGACCCCCCCCCCAACCCTAGGATTCTATGGCTCTATTATTATTATTATTATTATTATTATTATTATTATTGAGCAGAAATGGTCATCTGTTAGGAGGGATCCAGTAGCGTTTTTGTTTGGTGACAGAAAGAATTGGGTTGGACTGGATGGCCTTTGGGGGTCCCTCCCAACTCTAGGATTCCATGGCTCTATTATTTTCATTATCATTATTATTAGAATTATTGAGGAGAAATTGGACGGTCATCTGTTAGGAGGGATCCAGTGGTGTTTTCGTTTGGTGGCAGAAAGAAGGGGGTTAGACTGGATGACCTTTAGGGGCCCCTCCCAACTCTAGGATTCTATTATTATTATTATTATTATTATTATTATTATTATTACTATTATTATTATTGAGCAGAAACTGGATGGTCATCTGTTAGGAGGGATCCAGTGGAGTTTTCAATTTCTATGACTCTATCATTGTTGTTGTTGTTGTTGTTGTTGTTGTTGTTGTTATTGTTATGTTAAACAGAGACTGGATGGTCTCTTCAAACACTAGGATTTGATGGTTCTAGTAGTAGTAGTAATAGAAGTAGTAGTAGTATATATTAAAGGGTTGGACTGGATGACCTTTAGGGGTCCCTCCCAACTCTAGGATTCTATGGCTCTATTATTATTATTATTATTACTACTACTACTATTATTATTGAGCAGAAACTGGACGGTCATCTGTTGGGAGGGATCCAGTAGCGTTTTCGTTTGGTGGCAGAAAGAAGGGGGTTGGCCTGGATGGCCTTTGGGGTCCCCTTCCCACTCGATACCTACCGGGGTTCCTGGTGGGCCTTTGATAGATGGCGGACCCTTTGGGAAGAAGAAGAAGAAGAGGAAGAAGAGCCCAGGAAGTGAGGAAGAGGAAGAGCATGCTGGCCTGGAAGAACAACAACAACCATCATCATCATCATCATCACCATCATCATCATCACCATCATCACCATCATCATCCTCATCACCATCATCATCACATCACCATTATCATCACCATCATCACCATCACTATCATCATCCTCATCACCATCACCATCATCATCACATCACCATTATCATCACCATTATCACCATCACTATCATCATCCTCATCACCATCACCATCATCACCATCATCATCATCACATCATCATCCTCATCACCATCACCATCACCATCACCTCATCACCATCATCATCACCATCATCACCATCATCACCATCAATCATCATCCTCATCACCATCACCATCATCACCATCATCATCACATCATCACCATCATCAGCATCATTATCACCATCACCATCATCACCATCATCATCCTCATCACCACCACCATCATCACCATCACCATCATCATCACCATCATCACCATCACTATCATCATCCTCAATACCATCATCACCATCATCATCATCATCACATCATCACCATCATCATCACCATCATCAGCATCATTATCACCATCACCATAATCACCATCATCACCATCATCATCCTCATCACCATCACCATCATCACCATCATCATCACCATCATCACCATCACTATCATCATCCTCATCACCATCATCATCACCATCATCACCATCACTATCATCATCCTCATCACCATCATCATCACATCATCACCATTACCACCATCACCATCACCATCGTCACCATCATCCTCATCACCATCACCATCATATTCATCACCATCATCATCATCATCATTGCTGCCCAGAAGTCTTATCCTGGGGCCCTTTGGAAGGGTGGCATAATAATACTAATAATAATAATAATAATAATAATACCATCCTACCTGCTCAGTCCTTTTGGGACGCCATCGGGAAGGGTCTGGGTCCGGTCATCTGTTGCAAAAGGGCAGCGGTCAGCCTCTGGCCCAAAAGTCTTATAATAGGGCCCTTTGCAAGGCTGGCAATAACAATAATAACAATACCATCCTACCTGCTCAATCCTTTTGGGACGCCATCGGGAAGGGTCTGGGTCCGGTCATCTGTTGCAAAAGGGCAGCGGTCAGCCTCTGGCCCAAAAGTCTTATAATAGGGCCCTTTGCAAGGCTGGCAATAACAATAATAACAATACCATCCTACCTGCTCAATCCTTTTGGGACGCCATCGGGAAGGGTCTGGGTCCGGTCATCTGTTGCAAAAGGGCAGCGGTCAGCCTCTGGCCCAAAAGTCTTATAATAGGGCCCTTTGCAAGGCTGGCAATAACAATAATAACAATACCATCCTACCTGCTCAATCCTTTTGGGACGCCATCGGGAAGGGTCTGGGTCCGGTCATCTGTTGCAAAAGGGCAGCGGTCAGCCTCTGGCCCAAAAGTCTTATAATAGGGCCCTTTGCAAGGCTGGCAATAACAATAATAACAATACCATCCTACCTGCTCAATCCTTTTGGGACGCCATCGGGAAGGGTCTGGGTCCGGTCATCTGTTGCAAAAGGGCAGCGGTCAGCCTCGGTCCCTCCCCGCCAACCCTTGCTGTACAAGAACAGGCTCAGCATTGTTGGTCCTCCCTTCCAAACAACAAAAGGGCTTTCAGGCCCAAATGTCAACAATGCCAGGAAGCCCCAGTCCGCAAAGGCCATGTAGTCTGACCTCCAAGGCACCACCCGATCCCTCTCGACAGAGGCCCATCTGAATAACCATAATAGAGTTAGAAGGGACCTCCAAAGGCCACCCAGTCTCTCCTGACATATATTCTAATCATGTATAATAAAACAATTATAAATAGTATCCTAGTCTTGGAAGGGGCCCCAAAGGACACCTAGTCTGACCTCTTGTATGCATCAAGGCACCACTCAATCCCTCTCAACAGAGGAACATCTGAATAACCATAATAAAGGCCACCCAGCCCTTCCTGACATATATTCTAATGTAATGATAAATAGGATCCTAGTCTTGGAAGGGGCCCCAAAGGACACCTAGTCTGGCCTCTCTTTATGCATCAAGGCACCACCCGATCCCTCTCGACAGAGGGCCATCTGAATAATAATAATAATCATAATAACCATCATCATCATTTTTGAATACTTCAACTCTTTCTTCTTCTGTTACTGTTGTTCTTATTTTATATTACTATATTATGTTATTATTTTATACTATTATCATATTATAATTTATTTATTTATTTATTTACATCTTTTCTCTTCCGCCCTTCTCCTCACCCCATAGCAGGGGACTCAGGGCGGATCACAGTGTACACATCTATGGCAAACATTCAATGCCAATTTTTGACATACAAACATATACAGACATACACAGAGGCTATTTCACTTTTTTCTGGCCGCCAGGGGAGCTGTCGCTTTCCTCGTCCATCTGTGACGCTGATGAAGCACTTCCGCATTCCCCGCATGCTTCCCGGCTGGAATGCTTTGCTGGAGTCTTCTTTATGGCCTCATAAATTAGTTAATTTAGCCTCCCCACACTTTAAGGTGGGACCTAATTTTCCTACTTGACAGATGCAACTGTCTTTCAGGTTGCAAAGGTCGACAACAGGCTACACACAATTGGTTGGAAACCCACTCCAACCCGGGCTGGCTTCGAACTCATGACCTTTTGGTCAGAGTGATCTTAATGCAGCTGACACTCAGCCTATATGTCTATATTGTTGTTATTTTATATTATTATATTACTATGTTATTATTTTATACTATTATCATATTATAATACATTACGTTATTATTTTCTATTTAATCTAGTAATATAATATTAATATTATATGAGAAGGACGGGATAGAAATGCTCCTAATCAATCAATAAATACTATTATGATGTTATATTGTAATATGTTATGTCTATATTGTTGTTATTTTATATTATTATTATATTATGTTATTATTTTATACTGTTATCCTATTATAATACATTTTATATTATTATATTAATGTTATTTTCTATTTAATCTAGTGACATAATCTATTATAATATAATAGTATAAAATAATAACATAACAATAATATATTATTGGGAAGTCTGACTTGGCCACGGTGGTACATGCTCTGGTCACATCCCGCCTTGACTACTGCAACGCTCTCTACGTGGGGCTGCCCTTGAAGACGGCCCGGAAGCTTCAGCTAGTCCAGCGCACGGCAGCCATGTTATTAACCGGAGCGGGACGCAGGGAGCATACAACGCCCTTGCTGTTCCAGCTCCACTGGCTGCCGATCTGCTACCGGGCCCAATTTAAGGTGCTGGTGTTATCCTACAAAGCCCTAAATGGTTCCGGCCCAAAATACCTTTCGGACCGCATCTCGGCCTACGAGCCCACGAGGACCTTGAGATCATCTGGGGAGGCCCTTCTCTCGATCCCGCCTGCTTCACAGGCACGCCTGGCGGGGACGAGAGAGAGGGCCTTCTCGGTGGTGGCCCCCCGGCTGTGGAACGACCTCCCTGTTGACATCAGACAGGCGCCCTCTCTTCTATCCTTCCGCAGGAGCCTAAAGACCTGGCTATTCGAGAAGGCATTCAAATGAATAATACGGCAACTGGTAATTGACATCTGGAACGGAACATGAACTTCGATTTTGGGTATGATTCTATGATATGACGAATGCGGATTAGTTAGTGTAACTTTCAGTATTGTGTATTATTGTTGTGTGATTTTCTTGCTTTTGCTTTTTTGTAAACTGTGTGTTTTTTATATGCTGTTCACCGCCGCGAGTCGCCCTAGGGCTGAAAGCGGCGGTCAATAAGTGCACCAAATAAATAAATAAATAAATAATATTATATAATTGTGTATAATAATATAATATAATATAATATATAGTTATGTTACTAGATTAAATAGAAAATAATAACAATATAATAATATAAAATAACAACAACAATAACAGGTGAACTATTACTATTATGTGAGAAGGAAGGGATAGAAATGCTCCTAATCAATCAATCAATAAATACTAATTATATTGTATGTTGTAATCTCTGTCTTGTCCACTAGAGGTCAGCAGAAGCTGCAGAAAGAAAGCCTTATGGGTTCCAAAAATGATATGACAATAATAATAATAATAATAATAATAATAATAATAATAATAACAACAACAACAACAATAATTTATTACCCTGCAAGGAGTGCAGTAAGCAAGGGGAAATAATAATAATAATAATAATTATTATTATTATTATTATTATTATTAATCTCATAACAATAATATAATTTATTACAGGACAGGGAGCATGCAAAACAAAAGGAAATAATAATAATAATAATAATAATAATAATAATAATATTTATTATGCAGCAGAGAAAGCACTAAGCAAGAGGAAAATTATTGTTATTATTAATAATAATAATATTAATAATAATAACATTTATCCAGCAGGGAGTGCACCAAACAAAAGGAAATAATGATAATAATAATAATAATAATAATATTTTATTATGCAGCAGAGAAAGCACAAAGCAAGAGGAAAATTATTATTATTATTATTATTATTATTATTATTATTATTATTATTTATCCAGCTGGGGGTGCACCAAGCAAAAGGAAATAATAATAATAATAATAATAATAATAATAATAATAATAATAATAATAATTTAATAACAATAATATAATTTATTACAGGACAGGGAGGATGCAAAGCAAAGGGAAATAATAATAATAATAATAATTTTTATTATGCAGCAAAGAAAGCACTAAGCAAGAGGAAAATTATTATTTATTATAGGACAAAGCAAGGTGAAATAATAATAATAATAATAATAATAATAATAATAATAATTTATTACAGGACAGGGAGCATGCAAAGCAAAAGGAAACAATAATAATAATAATAATAATATAATATAATAACAATATACTTTATTACAGGACAATAACATAATTTAATAATAATAATAATAATAGTGATAATAAATTATATTAATAACAGTAATAGAATTAATTACAGGACAGGGAGCACGCAAAGCAAGGGGAAATAATACTAATAATAGTCATCATCATTAGCAAGGAAAACTATTACTATTACTATTACTATTATTATTATTATTATTATTATTATTAGGACTGCCTCCCAGGAGAAGGAGAATGTGGGCGGGGCTGTGTTAAGAGTAGGGCGTGGCTATGCAAAAGAGGGGGCGTGCCCTAGTCATATATGGAGGGAGGGGCCCCGGGAAGGAGCGCACTCTGCGAAAGACTCAGAGAGAGAAGGAAGGAAGGAAGGAAGGAAGGAAGGAAGGAAGGAAGGAAGGAAGGAAGGAAGGAAGGAAGGAAGGAAGGAAGGAAGGAAGGAAGGAAGGAAGGAAGGGAAGGAAGGAAAGAAGAAAAGGAAAGAAAGAAAGAAGGGAGGAAGGAAGGAAGGAAGGAAAGAAAGAAAGAAAGAAAGAAAGAAGGGAGGAAGGAAGGAAAGAAGGAAGGAAAGAAAGAAAGAAAGAAAGAAAGGAAAGAAAGACGGGAGGAAGGAAAGAGAGAAGGAAAGAAAGGAAAGAAAGAAGGAAGGAAAGAAGGAAGGAAAGAAGGGAGGAAGGAAGGAAGGAAGGAAAGAAGGAAGGAAAAAAGGAAGGAAAGAAAGAAAGAAGGAAAGAAAGGAAAGAAAGAAGGAAGGAAGGAAAGAAGGAAAGAAGGAAAGAAAGAAGAAAGGAAAGAAAGAAGGACGGAAGGAAGGAAGGAAAGAAAGAGAGAAGGAAAGAGGGGAAAGAAGGAAGGAAGGAAGGAAGGAAAGAAAGAAGAAAAAAAGAAAGAAAGAAAGAAGAAAGAAAAGAAAGAAGGACGGAAGGAAGGAAGGAAAGAAGGAAGGTAAGTCTTTGGCCGGAGCCTGTTCTTTTCCCCTTTCCTCCTTTCCTTCCTCTCCCATTCATTCCCTTTTCTTCCTTTCTTCTCTTTCCGTCCTTCTCTTTCCCCTTCTTCCTTTCTTTTTCTTTCCTTCCCTCATTCTCT